CTAAAACTGACACTGAACCACCAACAATTTCAGTATATGAGTGGGAGGGAAGAACTTGGAAAATGAGAGAGAGAACTAATAGAACATGACTACTCAGCATTAAGCTAATTAAATAAAACAAAAAAGAGCCAGCTTGAGCTCTTCTTACAGTCCAGATGTTCACCGGCTGAGATTTTAAATATGACAATTATAACTCTGAAACTTGGGGTTCCTGATCACTCCCCATCAATTGTAGCTTTCAGTAAATAAAGTCTAAATTTTAATCACATCACAGGTGCACAGCCGTCAGGCAACTGTGGGTGGATGTGTCCCTTGAGTGAGGCAGTATGGGTAAACAGCTCAGCTTTCGGCAGCAGACTTCTCCTTTACTGCTTCACAGGAAACGCTAAACGCTAATTGCAAATACTTAAAAAACAATAACTTTGAAACACGGCTTTTAGTAGCGTAATGCTCCTTTGTTTTATGAAAAGAATTAAGGATGAAAGAATGTTTTCAACTATAAAGATGACTGTTTTTTATTTATTTCAGTTGATTTCCGTATTTTAAAATTTTCCCCTCACAGAATAAGTGACCATATTGGTTTAAAAATAATCTGCCGGCATGATAGAAGTCCAAAGTAAACTAAACAAAAACAACTTGCAGAAAGCTTGTGTAATGATTCTGGCATTATTGTCTGCAGAATCATAACACAAGCACCATCCCTGTTTATTCTGCTCCTCTCTGTGCTGAAGCAGTGTCTATTATTGTATTATCACCTGCATCTCCCCTGCCTACATCCTAAGCCTGCCTCATTCACTCCACCCGCTTATCTTCCTTTATTGGCCTTGGATAAAAAGCACCAGATCATTGAAAGCCTTGTTTGAGTAAATTCCAGCGTTTTCCTTCTTGAATGCCTGATCTCGATTCTGCCTGCTGGATTTCTGCATTGCCTGGCCCATGCCGGTAATTCTCCTGGTTTCTGATTTCTGGGCATCAGCCTTGTTTTTGCCTTCTGACTGGCACCTCCTGCCTAACCCTTGGACCAGTCAGCCTGAATCTACCTCGTCATTATCAACCTCTTACTGACCCCTTACTACCAATTCAAGCCTGGTTCTGGATTCTATCCCATTTCAGCTTTGACCCGGTCTTGGTCCCCTGTTCACTGATTCCTGCCAAACTCTTGGGTAAGTTAAACCTGAAGATCTTTTTCTGTGTGTTTTGATTGTGGCTATGATGGATCAAACCCTATTGCTAAATCCAGAATTCCTATTTATTCTGAGAGTGTCACAGTGATTTCACTGTACAGTTTTCAGCCTGTTAAGCAGAGGAGACTAAATGCAGCATCTTCACTCTCACACAGATTCTGAGGTTAAAGGCTTCTTAACTTAACTTTACCTTGCCTACCAGTCCCTGTTCAAACACAAACCGCTCTCCCTTTATAGGTTCCTGGTCTATCTGCTGGTTGCTTTCTGCTGATATACGAACACATGTGATGTGTCATTGGCAAAACAGGAACAAGTTAACAGAGCACAAACAGAAGAATACAGAAAAAAAAACATCAACTTCATTTAATTGCAAAAAGTGCAAGTTAAAGCTATGAGGGAAGCCATTCAATGCTTGAAATAACAATTGAAGAGGTTTTAAAATCGTACACTTTGTGTTTAAACTCTGGCTGTTTCAGTCGTAACCCAAGCTGACCAGTGTTGCACCATAGTCTGTGACCACATTATTTGTGACTTATCGCACAAAACTAAGGAAAATCAGTAACTGTATACCCTTGAGTCATAACATAAAATGGTGCACAGAAAGTAGTGCAACACTTGTATTTTCATGTTGGGGAAGGGACAGTCAGCAGGTTATTTTATGTACCACCTTTGTTTGGATGAATGCAGCTTTTGTTAGGTGTCCCCCAATACGTGGATTTCTTTAAGACAGCATATGGTTGCTTAAAGGAACTGTTATTTCAGAAGAAATATTTGACATTAAGATAGACAGAGCTGATATGTCATCACTCAAGAGCTAAAATGCAGCTATTATAGTGCTTCGTTGGAGTACATATTTACTGTGACCGATGCCAAACCTGAACTTTCTTTAGATTCTAATTCACTGAGAGATATAATGGAAGGTATTGATGATAGCGACTTCATCACTACACAACGTTTTTTGCAGAGGTTCTGCCAAGACCAGGTTGATGAAGAAAATGTTAAAACATATGGGAACATTTATCTAAATAACGACCAAAGGTAAAGGTGTGATCATTAAAATGTGGAGGACATTACGCAAAATGTTCCTAACATAATAGAAAAACACATGCTGGCAATAAGCACAGTAGACAGGAAAGCTTTTGAGAGTTAAGGCACTTCAAGGAGCCAAGGTATAAAATTCCTTATGAGCAGTCAGAGTCCTCCTTTAAGACGTATATTACTGGAAAGTTTAGTTGAATTAAAAGGATGATTTTACAGGTTTTAAACACAACAGGAATAAATTCAGCCTCAAGGAAATGTGATGCAAAATCTAAGATGGTTGGAGGAGAACTGCAGCTGGAGCCATTGATTCAAGAGTCTCCAAGCAAAGAGACCATGGGCCATTACAGAACCAGAGCCAACACCAGAAGCACCTCTCATTTGCTAATGAGAAAAAGCATCTTCAACATTTTAAACAAATAATCATGTGATCAGTCAAATATTGTCCTGCAGACTGGTTAATTAACCAGGGGGACCAAAAGTTTCAGGACATTGGCCCTCGAGGACTGGATGCAATCACTCCTGTCACAGAAAACCCAGGACTTTCTTTCAAAAGTAGGGGTGTTCCAAATGTAACACTAAAGAACTAATTAAACCAGAAATATGAATAACAATTCACTTTAGTTTAATTTTTACAGCTTTCTGTGTCCAGTTTGGAGCTAAAGCTAATCAGCTTTGAGAAGCACAGCTGTGCTCCAAACCTTGCTTTCAAGCAGCAGCCATTACTAACAGCCTCACTGTTCAGGACATGACTGCAGGAGTTCTGACCCGACGACCCAACATAAAGTCCTATTAAAAATGTCAGAGTGGGGATTTGTGCAGATGTAAACAAAGCAAACGATAATGGATCCGTCTTACTTAGCGATTTCAGTTTAATGCTCCTAAACAGAATGCCCACTCTGGTTTCACACAGCTGTGAAGCACTTACTTGACTTAATTAAAATATAATGCCTAAAACCTATTTGCTTTAGAGTTAAATTCTAAAAGCAGTACTGAGAGTTAAAGCTACTGTATATAACCTTGTGAGTTAAGAGCAGTGGCCTGAGCCAGAAAAAAAGGAACTGAAAGAGAAAAAAATAAAATAAAAACTACGGCAACATTCACACAGCAGGCAAATGCAACCCATGGCAGACTAATTTTAAGGCAGTTTAAGGCCCACTTACCATCATTTATTCTAAGACAAGAGAATGCAAATGTAAGTCAGTTTCATTCTTTACTAAATCTTGTATGTATCAAATGTTTAACAGTTTGAACAGTTATGATGCATTTTATCCAACTTTAATTCACTACTTTTGCTCTGAATACTCATCCATACAGACCTCTCTACACAGTAACAGTAAATTCTCTGCTAAACGCTGTTGTTATATTAAGTCTTGATATTTTTCTAACCTTCCTTTGTTATGTTATGATGTGGTCATAATATTATCAGCTCCCTTTTCTTAACAGCTTTACCAAAAGACATGGACCCCAGCATCAATTGTTACGTCTACTGAACACTTTAGAAATGGTCCCATCCAATTTTACTTATGTAAACAGTGTGCTGCCGCATGGCCTGTAAAGACAGATGTCTTATGGCCATTATATTGAACTATGAAAGACCATGCAAAAATAAAAAAAAAGGAAAGCCGATTCTACCAATAACTGGAATTGAGCACCAAGACCACTTACAGGAGAGTGGCCTCAGTCTTATTGGGTGTTGCACATAAAGATAAAGTGAAGGGATTCTTTACAAGCACAAAATGAAAGAATGTGGTATTCAGTTAGTCTCCCTTTAATCTTATGCCCCTAAAAAAATATCAGCTTAACCAATTCCTTTAAAGCAAATCGATTCAGAAAGTAGAGTCCACCTGTGTTTTTTCTCATCATAGACTTTACAGACAGGTAAAGCCATGGTTTAAATAAAAACAGATTTATGTTTTAGAATAGTGAAGAAAATATTTAGGACCTAAATAAAATGAAGGGTTTGGGTCAATATTTGAAAACACCATCTAATCTAAATAAATAACTATTAGGCTATGAAAAATAATAGAAATAGAATAGAAAATCCCTTTATTGTCCCAAATAGGGGAAATTCTGGGCAAATGGGAAAACATTTGAATCCCTTGATGTCAGACTTGCAGATGTATTTGAAGCAATTCTACCAAGAATTGATTCAAGAGGTCACAATATGAATTTGGACTACAAAATTCAAATTAGAATTTTTAGAGATAAAAAAAAAGTGTTTTGTTTGTTGTGTCTTGTTTTATAATGAAGCCTATGACTCGTACCGATCGGCAAAGAAAAATCTGGCAGTATGTTGTTTTTCATGAATTCTCAGAGAGAAGATTAATCAGGTCCATTTTGAAACAAATAAATCCTGCCAGATTCTCTCCCAAACACATCTGTTATCAGTAATTTAGCTGCGCCTTTGCTGCCGGCTGCCTCATAAGCAGAGTAGATATGATAACGATCTTAGTGGCATTGCAGCTCAGGGAAGGATTAGCCAACAGTGGCGGCTACAGCCGTGGCAATGTCCCACAGTCACTGAGCAGGAACAAAACACCAAACTGTCTACTAGGCCAATCTACCATCCAATTTTCTTTCTTCTTTTATTACTGTTCTTTACACTGCTGAGCAAAGTCATTTGACTTCTCCATTTCTCCAGCTGTGCTGCAGTTTCATGTGATGAAGAGGTACATGCTAAACAACAGACCTGCCATTGAGGCAATATGATGAGTCTTAAAGTGTCACTTGTTTAAAAGGATGTGATGAAAAAGAGAGCTTGCATTTTTAACTCACCAGAACATCCTGTCCTCCCCCTGCTCTGTCAACACTCAGATGTTCATCTGAGCTCTTCAGTTTCCTTACCTGAAAGAAAAATCATAAAAACTTTTCAGTATAATTTTTTTAATAAATGACATCTTTTCCCCACTATTATTAATCTCAATAATGCTATTATCATGATGATTAATATTGGCAAGTAGTAACCATAAAATGATGTAAATATGCATTGCAATAACATATTTTAGCTTTGAATTTTTTTTACAAAAGGTTAATTGTAAAACCACAAACTATACATTTTTCTTGGTATGTAACTGACAAAATATAATTCTTTAAAGTGGAGAGTAAAGGTAGGGGTGCCATGATTGATCGGCCAGCCAATTTATCGGCCTCAATATCCTTAATTTTGAGAGATCTGTGATCAGCCGATACTTACTTGTGAAAGCGATCTTTTTCAGAGATTGTTTCTATCATGATATTGGCACTGATAGCTGGATTTGGTTATTTTCTCACATCTGCTTAACTTACCAGCACTCATTGTCACTCATCAGATCCACCTGTTCCTGCTTCTATTCAAGCTGCCTGTTCCCAGACATTGGTGCCAGATTATTTGAGCTGTGTGTAAGAGTAACTCTAGCGATCCAGTGTGTTTCTGATTTGCTGATCCTGACAAGTTTCTGCTTTTGGTTTCTAAATACCATGAAAACTGCTGGGGTCACAATATGTTCAAATAGAAAGTGTTGTTTTATGTAGCGTGAAAAAATAAAACTTTAACAAAAAACACTGTTTTGCCACTCCCCAAAGGACTCTGTCCAAATATTTTTTTCAACCCTCTGATATTGCTTTCAAGAATCTGAGATTCATTTTAAAACCAAAACTAGCTTGTAGCTATATAAAAAAAAACAAAAACACCTATTTTATGATTGTTGATTTCAAAATAAGAGCCAGCAAAACAAAGACAAAGATACCACCTCATAAATAAACCAAACTGATGATTAATAAAGATGTTTGTCCCATCTTAGCTTACAGACTTAATGTTGTAGAGATTCTTTGCAATTGTTTTTACTTTAGACTAGCTCACATATCTCAATAAGAATCTTTAATATCGGGGTAAACCATATTATATCATATTCCATTCTAATACTCTGAGAACCCCAAAGCTTGTTCACACTTTTAATTTCATGCCCGCCTTCAAAATATCATTTTTGATTCTTATAGATAATTATACTAGAAAGTTCAGATCTTTAAAAATGTTGAGGTTTTCAAACTGAAAAACAAAAAGTACAAGTAGACCTTTTATGCTTTTTCAGCATTTCTGTCATATTCTATTGTCTAGACTGGGGTATAGCACTATAAATAGTAATTCATAGAAAAGCTACTTGACCGCTTTCAGTTGGTCCAAACTCTTTAACCAGGCTGTTGCAATGATGGAAAGTAAAACTTAATAAAAACCCAACACTTAAGTATTTCTCTGTTACTTCTGCATCTAAAAGCCGAAGTCAAAGGATTACAGTGTCACAGGATGAATCACACCTTTTTGCATGAATAAAGTCAAATTCAATACTAAAAGTTTGAAAGTTAAATAATCAACTTTAGCATAATATCACCTTCATGCAGTGCTAAATTTGACAATCACCACTGGCAGCAGAGCTCCAGCAGGAGCTCAATAAATAAGTTTCAGTCTGCAATGGATCAGTGAAATAGGAATACAGCCCAAAGAAATAATGGTAAAACTGGGATATGAGGAAAATCCTAAACTAAAACCAATATTAAAAATCTCTAAAAATAATCCATGAAGCCTTCCATGTGGGGAAAAGCATACTAAGATATAACTTAGTTGTATTTTGTCTTGAGCTCTAAGTTTTTTATTTTGGAAGGCCACCATGCCATCCCCATAATCCTTAGCTCCCTCTCCAGATTTTCTGTCAGATACATGTAGGGACTCTGGCCTTGCAAAATGTCAATACCTCCTCAAGAAATGCGATTAAATAAAAATGAAGTATAACTTTACACCAACAGTCTCCACGGGTATGGATAATTTTAGGGTTAACTGCACACAAACAATTGTTAGTTGTTATTTATTTTGCTTAAATTCATTCGTAAAAAAATGTTTGTATTTGTATGTTTTCTATTATAGCTTTACGTTTTTGCATAAATAATGTAATTTTTTTGCATTTGTAATCAAAATGTCGAAATGATCATAAAGTGACAATCTCTGATCACAATGCTTGACAATCTTCCAAATTTTTTTCATTGTTTATTCATCTCATTGCATTTGATTTCGTTCAATCTTATTTCTCATCCCCATTCAGCAGGTGGGTTATTTTAAGAGACTCTTAATTCATTTGGAAGCCGTATTGTTCTTGCCGTCTGCAGAGACCTGACATTCTCCGGATGACTTTTAAAAATGGCTGAAACTGCTGATTAATTTGCTCTAATAAGCGCTCAAGAAGGAAAAATCAGAAAGGACTTTGGAGAAAATCTGTGTCAAAGCTTCGATTTTTATGCTCAACATTAACACATTTTGGCTTTTTTTAAGTACAGTAAATTAGGGTTGTCACGATACTAAACTTTTCAACTCGATACCGATACTAAGGAAAATATTCGATACTCGATACCCTTTTCGATACCACAAGAATAAAAACAAAGACTCTAAAATTCAACAGAAATATTTTCATTACTAAAAAAATACAAGAAATAAAAAAAAAACAATAAGAAAAAAAAGTCTTATTGTCTGAAACTGAAAAATGCACAGAATTATTCAATCACACAGTGTCCAGAAAGTGCATTTTCCTCTATTCTGCACTTTAGATGGCTGTATCGATACTTTTGAAAATGAGTATTGTATCCGGATACAACGTTTCAGTATCGATACTTTTTTGAGTATCGATACTTTTGACAACCCTACAGTAAATACACGCTTATAGGCGAGGATTTTTCTTTTTCTGGGTGGATCATTAAATGAGTGATCCTCCTAATTTTGAATAATTCTGGTGATATGTTTACGTAAAGCCATCCTACGTGCTCGTCCCGTTAACTGTCTTGTTCTGCGTGTAAGCGTGGTGAGCGTTCTGTGGTGAGCTACAGTTTCAGAGTCATTGAAGCTCAAATTTCTCAACTCGCTTCTTTGAAAATGGCCAAGAGTCATAAGAGAAAGAGTGTCTACGAAGTGTTGAGAAGAAGAGAAAGGCCTCAGAAATGGTAGATATATCCTGGAATGCTTTGCGTCGAGAGCTCTCCTTCTGTGACCAACGGGGAGCAAAAAGCAGTGACCAGCTGTCCGAACGTTCAGTTAACTGAGTTCACTATATAGTCCCCGCTCTATAGAGTGATTGAGGGATTTAGGGTTAGGGCAGACATTTAGACAAAGTAAGCTTGTATGACCTATGAGAACGGCAACTATTAAACAGAGTGTGCACAAGAAGAAATGGGCTCATGCATGCTCTAGCACGCTTTTTTTAGGTCTTCCCTCTTGGGAGCAGGTACCGGGTTGTGCATTGCATTTTTTTTCTTTTTTTTAAGTGGAGAGGGCAGGTCTTTTAAAAATTTGCAAAAATCCTTCACGATACATTTAATTAAGAAAACAAAAAAAATTTAAATATATATGATTTTCTGTAAATGTGATCTTTAAATTATTTATCTTTCATGCTTGTGTCTTCATTTTAAACTTTGAGTCAATATCCACATTCTAATTTTAACTAAACTGAAATCAAACTAACCAAAAAAAAAATTATAAAGGGCTAATTTAAATAGTTGTCTAATCTTGATCCAATTCTGTCTTGGTCTTATAGCCCAAACCCTCAAAGTGGTTTCAAGATCCTTGGAGGCTGGCAGTCTGTGTTTGTGGCATTACAATAGAAAAGGAAAATCGCCACATAAGAGAGTAGTTACAAAAATGTCTAAACTGTTTTTTGATCCCCATAAAGGAAATCCCACAGCCCCAATCTAACAGCGTCATGTTAATAACCTTCTGTGTAATGTACTGTGGAGAATACAGATTTTTACCTTGGCACTGCTGTCTGAGTGGCGTCTGGCACAAGCTTGGAGCTGATTGATCCAAAACTGCTGCTCCTTAGCATCAGATGCTGCAAAAAGCAGAGAAACAGAATTACCCCCAATTCATCCTTAACACTCAGGAATCTAGAAATCCTTTAGTAAGCCTTATGTGAGTTCACATGGAGGTCGTTGTGAAGCAATAAGAGAGTCATCTCCCTTAAGATGCCCATTCCATTTTTATTGCTGTACTGTGGTTTCAGATACAGCAGTTTAACTTTAAATTGAATTGAGGAGTAAACAGCAGGAGCTAAATTCATTCGCTGTTATTGAAGAATATATATATATATATATATATATATATATACACTATATATCTATCTATATATATACATATATATAGATAGATATATATATATATGTTAGATAAAAAAGTACATCCTCTTTACAAGTCAGGACGTAAGTACGTTCATCTGATCTCGCCAGCTTCTGTAAATATTTTAATCTTATCCCATGTTCAGTCACTAATTCTCTGGTTAAAAAAGAAAGGTCCAAAACAGAAAAGCTGAGCGGGAAAAAACATATCTGTCCATTTCTGTTTCCCAGTTGCAGTGTATCAAATGCACTTCATTAATTCATCAGTAAGTGTGACCATGTCTCCGCCATGTTGGAAAGACAAAAAGTGGCTAACTTTCCACTTGTCATTGCTTTTCTGTGCATTTATTGCTGGTAAGAGGGATATAAGAAGCCACTGAATCATGTGGTGCACTTAGTTTTACTACACAGTTTTTTCTTTTTATTCTTACCTTACCTTATTGTAAAATACATATTTAAACTTGAATTTGGTTACTTTCAAACTTGGTGACCTGATTTTTGACCTGTTTTCTTAATTTAAGATGAAAAACTAAAACAGTTTAGGATGATTTATCAAATATCTATTGTACATATATGATATTAAGAGATTTTGAAGAGTTAATTATGATCAAAATTTAGAAATATGGAAAATAGCTAAGTATTTTAAAATTAAATGCACCTAAATTATAAAAACAAAAGCCCTCTTTTTAAATCTCCTGGAGTCGTGCAGACATATTTTTTTATAATTCATGTGGGGAGCCGAATCTTAATAGCGGGCTTAAAACTAAAATCATTATTAAAGACAAACAATAAGACAATCAAATCTATTATCTTTAATATTAAACTGCTTTTTTAAAATAAGCATCAAATCACATGTATGCATCATCAATTTAAACCATTCAATACCAGACAGAAACTGCCAATTCAACCTGCTTACAACAGCTACAAGGCAGGCTTAAATGTGGTCAACTAACGGAGAGAGGCAGACAGATAATCAGTTACTCTGAGCCTGATCATCACTGTATTACCTGCATACTTCCTCCCTGAATATTTAGAGCTGAGGAAGTCAGTTAGATGTACCCCCTATAGGGCAAGATTAGGATTAGGTCCTTCTGATTGCTCTGACTAATTATTGCAGAGAAATGTCTTTAATGGAACAGATGAGTGGAGTAATGTTCACACAGCAGATTAGGTCTCACTAAAATGGCAGCAAAAAACAAAATCCTTAATTAAACCCACATATAGTAGAAAAATGTTTAGCTACCTCTCAGTTTGTTACACTTTTCTTCAAGGAGTCAGAGTTCCCTGTAATATCTAAAGTGGCCTTATTTCCAGACTATCTGAAGGTCTTTCATTCCTTTTTTTTTTTAATCCTCGACTGCAGCCAAATCAGTTTATGTTTCAATATTCAATATTCAATGCTTTGAACCACAGCACAGACCTAAATTGAATGAAGCCATAGCTTTGCACAGTTTTTCTGAGCACGTTTCAACAGCTATCCAGAAGTGTTTGTCAATTCTTTTGGCTCCGTTGGAGCGCAGGACCCAGACAACTAAGAATTTGCACAGGTATTTAGTTTTAATGAGGTGATTTAGAATGATTGAATCGGATACAGATTTCAATATTTTTAGCCAGTTAATTCACCAAATTTTCTTTGCATCTATACCAGTGGTCAAACATTTTGAGCTGTGTGCCAAAATTGCTCCTACCCTCAAGGCCTGTTCTTTTTTAATTTAATATACTTAAAAAATGGTGAATTATTTTCATCTCACATGTTCATCACTGAAGGATACATGCAATACTTTGAAGAAACAAAGTTACAAATAAATTATTGTAGATCTTGAAAAAGGTGTCAGACATTGGTCTAACCAAAAGAAAATTGTTGAGTTTCATATCTATTTTTTTAGAATGACTCTTATTTAGTTTGTGTAAAAAGTATTTTAATGTTGTTTTATCTCAAATCCGATCTAAACCATCTTTAATTCTGGAAAGAGCAACATAAATCTATTCCACAAGCAATGATAGGTGCAGAACACAAGGCCATTCCCACAACTTTATAACTACACAGAAAAATAAGCAATGCAAAGTTCATTAAGGGCGAAACTGACAGACTGAGAAACATCATCTGCAGCCTCTGACCAGGGGCCACCCCAGACATTGGACCATATCAGCCACAGGTTAAGCTTCAAAGAAGGTGTTACTTGATTATCCATTTAAACCGTGGCATTTTTGATAGAAATATTTTTAAACAAGTGAAGGAAAAAACATTGTAGAAGTGCATTAACTCCAGAGAATCTTTTTTTTTATTTTTATGTTGGCTTACTATTTCCACTCTAAGGCTCGCAGAAATATGCAGTGTCCTAAATCAATAAATATGCAAAAACTGTAGTATAATTAGAATTAACTGCTGCACATAGAATAGCTCGGTAAAAACTGACCTACACAGAACTGGAATAAATTAGATCCAATTCTGTGGTACTCATCAAAAGAAAACTGACTGTTGGACTTAAATATTTTCCCACTGGAGACACAGAGGATTAGCATGACTGCCTTTAAGCTGGATAAGTGTCAAGCAAAGACTTCCAGGAGAGAGCACATAAAATCTTTCATTAGGAAAGAACTAAAACATTAAGACAGAGGTCCTGCATAGACTGGACTAGTCTGCAATCCTCAAATTCCAGATCAAATCCAGTTTAATCCCATTCAAGAAATCGTTTATTAATATGAAAAGAAAATAGGTTGTATTACTTATATCTTTCAAGTTTCTTGAGAGAGTTGTAGATATTCATAGCTGTGGGCATGAAGGATATCCTGCAGCAGCCTTGCTTAGAGCAGATCTAAAGAAGCTCCTGACTAAAGACATCCACTAAGAGGATAAATCTTGTAAAAGCACAAGTGACTGTTGAAGCTCTCATCAGTATCCTTCCTTCCATCCATCCATCTTTCCATCTATCCATCCATCCATCCATGCCTTCATAAAGCTATTTGTTCTTTTATCCATCCACCCATCTTTTAAACTTGACTCATCTGTGTAAAAAAAAACCAAAAGTTCCAGTTTGTGATGTTAAAACCTTTAAATTCATTTGAAGAAACATTATGGGGTTTTCTAATAACACTATCACCTGTTAACTTTGCGCTGCAAGCTGGATTGTTGCAAGATCTATGTTTTCAGTCTCATAACAAACCCATCTTGAAAGACTCACACTAATACGTCCGTCTCATAACAACCAGAGAGTCGGACCAATGACATGCCACCAGTGGTTTTTTTTTTGGGTGGGGCATGTAAGAATGACAGTAGTCAGAAGGGCCTTGCAGGGACATTACAAAAATGGAGAACTCACCTGTCGACACAGCAATTGGTTTTAGCTAAAACAGTGACAATTTCTCATTTAAGGAAGGAGAAAAGGGAAGCACTTTGTGCATTTGTCTTCCGACAGGAATTAGGAAAAAGCTTGATTTATCAGCTAATTGTAAAAACAATAAATATCACAATTCATTGCTACGATGGGCTAAAAGCGTATTATGGAAGGCGGTACAAGCTGGGACGTCACCCAATCAGCACGAAGTATTGTACTAAACTTCCCTCCTTTTCACAGAGAGACTGAACAGCAGCCAACCAAGGTTGATAACGTAGAACTCAACTCAGTTCTAAACATATCAATCTGGCTAATGCCATGTTAACCACCTGTGGCCAAAAGACAGAACTGCAGGACTCTTCTGCTCGTTTTTGTCATGGTCTTGGTTCTGTTGTACTTTACTTTGCTCCTTGTTTTTTAGTTTTATTGGTTTAATTCCTATTTTGTTGTAGTTTCTTGATTCATGTTTTCAGGTTTTTCTGTGGTGTTCCTCTGTTGCCCTCTAATGTGTGTTCCTTTCCCCTTGGCTCCCTCGTTGTCACCTCTCACACCTGCTCCTTGTCAGCTCGTTAGCCCTGCCTTTGTCTCAGTCAGCTACATATACTCTCACTCCTCTTTCACTCTTTGTTGGTTCCTTGTCTTTGCTGTCCTCCCATGCTGTTGTCTACCTACCTCGTCTTTCCCTGGCTCCTCGTGTTTGGTTTCCCCAGATGTCTCCATAGTTCTGGTTTGCTTTTCATTATTAGTTGGATTTTTGGATTCCTGCCTTTGTTTACTGTTTTTTTCACCATTAAACTCCAAGAAATCTCCTCAGCCTCTCTGCATTTGGGTCCTCCAAACCGCAACCAAACCTTGACAGTTTTTGTGACTTTTTTTCACCTTAGGCTACGTGGAGTTGCAATTAGTGTCTGAGTTAAGCTGGGTGTTGGTCGCTTCCGAGTATCCACAAATTCATCTTGAATATAGCACTTCAATTGTTTGCTAGGTCAGACCCTTTTAAAATGGACGCCTTTGACGTCACATCTGCCGAGCAGCATGGGAAGTTCTGACCCAAAGTAAATTCAGCAAAATAGCCTACATGTTTATAGATGCATCTGCTCTGAACTACTGAGGTGCTCATCAAATTATATTTTAGTCTTCAAGGATCAAATAAAAGGGCTATTTTATTTTCAGTAAAAACTTACATAATGTCTCCTTAAATAGAGCAAAAACTGTTTGATCAGTTCAATACTTCGCCTTCTATTCTGTAATAACTGTTTGAGCCCAATAGAAACAGCTAAGTAGTTACAGAAAGTCAGTATATGATGTAAGGTATATATGATGAATCCATCATATATATGCCTTTAACATTAATGACTTAAGCCAAGTGTCTAGAGATATTG